CACGTAATAAGATTTAAGTACTCCTAACAGCTGAAAAAACGAACCGAGTCTTCTTACTTATTCGAACTGTACTTCACCATGCTATAGACGCCAATATCCCTAACGTGAATACTAACCGTACTATTTTCTACTAAAACCAAAAAAAAAAAAAAAATTGAGCCATAACTGCTCTAACAGTTGTGCATTTAACGCGTGAATTTTAGCCATAACTGCTCTAACAGTTGTGCATTTAACGCGTGAATTTTTCATGTAGTCATGTAGGGATATTATGTTAACATGCTGCTGGTGTACAAATGTTTTCGTAATAACCGATTAAACACTTTCGTGTTACAATTATTTATGGAATTTAGTAATTTTATGCAATACTTCGTTAAACTCACCTTAATAAACATTATCGTATTATGACTGAAGGATATAGTATAACTCCTTTACTTTTCACGAAATTTGGAGGTTGAATTTTGCAGAATATTTCGTTCTAATACGAATTGTTCTTTGTAAACAATTAAAATTAAGCTTTAAAATGCTGTAAAATTGTCATCCACACTACTCGATACGTAAGGCAATTGTTTTTCAAGCGGAGAGTCACTTCCGTACATATTTTTCATTTTTATTTAGAATAATAAATTTTATAAAAATAAGTAAAGATATAAACCGTATACTTGCATATATAACATACTACTTTTCTTTACAATAGTAAAATCAAAATACACTTGTGTACATATAAATCAAGTTATCGTCGAAAACATTGGTGACTTAAAAGCCGACCATATTTCTAGACTTAGTTTTAATTGCTTATACAAAATAGTGACAAACTTATGGTACAAGCCGGAGAGGTGGAGGGTAATTCCTTGTGAAAGAGTACCGTCAAAAATACCAAATATACAATTTTCGATCGAAGCTTAATTAAAAAAGATCAAATGTTGAAATTGAGTTGAGTCCGTGCTTATCATTTCTTCAAATCTCATTTCTCATTTCAGAAATAGCTGCTTCTATTCACACCTATGTCTTATAATGCTATCATGAATGCAGAAACAATGAAAAAGTGTAAAACTTTAAGGTAAAAAATTATTGGAGCATTTAAAGAAGTGAAGTGTCGTGAGATGTTGAATAAAATTTAGTTGGAGTAGTTTTGCTTACAGTAGCAAGGCCGACAATTTTTAACATAACAAAATAATAGCTCTTATTTTATGTTTCTTTATGTTTACTCAACTAATTCTTACGTCTTCGTGAACTCGGCGCGACAGTTTCGCGCCGCGTGTAAGTAGGTACTATCGGTGGTATAGTCAGTGGAACAAATATAGCGAGCTCGTAAATTAAAGGATCAATTGGCGGCACAGCTTGATGTGGCGGCAACCAGGACCGTATACAACATTTTGTTTTAGGGTCCGTACAATAAAAAGGTGACAACTAATGACTATCGGTATTTTATGTACTATCAAGTAAATAAAAAATGCTAATTAGCTAGTTTAATATTTGAAGTTTCTTCCTGTGTCTGACGTCTCATAAACCTGTGACCAACGCAGATCAATTGGTTAGTCGAATTTTAAACACGTGGAACAGATATAGAATAAAGTGAACAACGTAAATGGTAATCATTGGAAGGAAGCAGTAGATAAAATAATAAAAAGTGAAGCAGAGTATAGGTAAAAATGAAAACCATTGTAAGAATTTGAAGAACGGCAGAGCCTGCGCAGGCGTGGTAAATACATTATTCCCTTATTTTCCTTTCCCTAATTTCATTATTTCATTATTCCCTTATTTATAGTCCTTATTTTCTCATATTTCTGTCAATTCCTTTGTTAGAACACTTGAAACATGTTTACGCTGACTCTTGACTGATTTTACGATCTCGCCTATACCTGTTTGTTCCACCAACTGTACATGATAGTTTTCAGAAGTGCAACTTTCAGTAGACAAAACAGATATTCTGCAACTTAATACTCCTGCAAAGGAAACTTAAACTGCTAAGAATTCAGCACTATAGATATTTTTCTATTATTATAATAAATTATTTTAATGTAGCTTAACTTCCTTTCAGAATTTTGCCAAAGGCTGTAATGAGGCCATTGATGGAAAAGGGATACATAGATTTATGTGCTGTTTTTCTTTAAATCGTATAAGTCTTTTGTTTGCATTAGCTAGATACTGTTTCGTTCCTTGGTTCGCTCGACACTCAGTTAGTTGCTCAGCGGTCGTCCTGCCGTGCAATATTTTCGTTTCATAGAGGATTTTGTGTAAGTGAGGAAATATGGAAAGTGAGGCTAGTGTGGAGTCCGTAAGAAAATAAGCTGATTTAGAGGAAGAAAATTGATTTTAAAATCAACTTGGAATAAAGAACCGAAAAAAAACTAAAACGTCTTGGGGCACAAAGTTATACATCTCATTCGGGGAAAGAGGCGAAAAGAAAAAATTTTATTTTGTTATAAAGTGCTGTAAATATGAGTGTCACGAGGAATTTGACAGAGATCAATAAGAATCTATTTGTAACTCCTTTTGGAAAACTATTCAAGACAAATTTCTTGCTAGCTGTGTATCGAAAAAGCTAAAATAGATTGTTTTCATTATAAAATCAATCCGAAAATGGAAAAAGATGATTAATATACCTTTATACAACTTATTGGAGCTAAGTAACAAAAATTAAACATTCAACTTACATAAAAATACATACTTAAAAAATTACACATTTTTTTAATTTTCTATATATATAAATAAATATACAAAAAAATAATTTTTTACGATTTTACCCTATTTGTGGAAAAAAGGCACATAAACCAATTTTTTGAAAGTTATAAATAAAAACACATATCATCAAATCATGACTTCTGTTTTCAGACCGTTTTAAGGACGTTACTACATCCTCAAAAAAAAAGAAAAATTGGATTTAATTTCATTACTTTTCATTAAGTAATGCGACAATGGAAACATTGAAATCGATTTCTTGAAATGGCATTTTGGCGTATGTGTTCTTTTTCCATCAAACGCCTCAGTTGCTTCACAGTATGGAGGAATATGTTAAATTGGATGGCGCTTATAGTGTCCTTTTGCAAATCGTGTCTTCATCAATTCCGATCTTCTCAATTAAAAACTCTTGGACGAAAGAAATTTATTCTACTTTTTGGATTTATCTTTTTATAAGAAACCATTTTCCACCAGGTTTGCCCTTACACTGTACAAAGTGAGCACTGAAGCGAAATATTTTGCAAAATAAGATCATTTGATCTCGTTCATTTATTCTTATAATATTGGGGAGATCATTTGTAGTATATCTTGGTGAGTTGACTTTAAGATCTTCTCTACACTGTCACCAAAATAAATTATTTTCGTCAGATGAAATCTAGTTTTTTTGCCAAACAATTTGTGCAGCAATAATTCTATTGCATCATCAGCTACCTAGAGAATATTTCTGAATGTTTCTAGATAAATCGGACAAATCATATATACATATATACGCGCAAACGTGTACGTGTGTAATATGAACAGGATGCTTAATTTATCTTGTCTACCTTCGTATTTCCGTTATTTTTAATGGCAGCATTCAAATATCCAAAATGATTTTTTCTTTACAAGGTACGCTTAGAAAAACATTGAGTTTATCGTATTTCGGCTACAGCAGAAATACGCCAACTTCACTTTAAAAATTAACGAAAGTAAGAAACGATCGTTAATTTATCGTTTCAAAGTGTACATACGAAAATTCATTAATAATTATGAAGTTGTGAAAGTAAAAAGAAGACTAGATACAAAGTGTGGCCGAAAGTATTGTACAGGCGAGCTGGAGATGATTCTTTATGCAAAAATAAATAATAAATATAAAATGAAATTTTTCCAACCAAGTTCTACGTAACTTGTCCACGATGCCATAAATAGTATGTGAATAGTTGGAAATAAAACTGTTTAAATATGCTATGTGACGCATTAGGTGAAAATTTGACAAATACTACCGTTTACTCGAATTAAATGCTTTTACTAATTTTGAGACCGCCGGTCACCGATCATCCCCACGGCATTCAACGTGTGTAAGAATATGGTTGAGTGAAGGTAGGGACTCGGGCTGGTTTATGACCCGCAGACCTCTCGGTCTGCGGAGAAACCCGGTCCCAACGCCTGACTCCCCCACGCGCTAAGGGCTGGGTCAGGTAAGGACCCAGCCACGTGCTCGCGCGACGCGGTCCTTGCCGGGTAGAAACCCCCAACTTGCGCCAGGGTTTCCCAAAGGCAAGAGAGGGGCGTCAAGGACCGCATATAAGGACGCGTTAGGAGCACTGCGGGCAGAATCAAAGAATTGTGAGAATCGTGAGAATTGTAAGGATTGTAGGAGAATAAACTGAACCGCGTAGTCAACGACGACGACGAAAGAAATATAGTTTTTGAAATTATCCGGACGAAGTATTGTTTAAACTAAAACCTCTTGCATAATAAAATATTGTTGATCAAATTTTGTCTTCGTGCTTTCTTGAACCTAGCAACTCGTAAAAGTCGCGTAGACATTGTATACAAACATGATAGGCATTGCATGTCGTTACAACTAAAGTCGGTTGGTTTAATTTCAAAAAAGTTATACTGTTCTAAAGAGTGTCCGAAAATTAGTGGGAGTCACTGTACGTGTACGTAAGTCTAAACGTACGCAATAGATTTTCAAACCCGATTTTCTCAAAAACTTTATTCTACATTTGTGATTAATTTTTGCATAAGGAATCATCAACTGCCAAAAAAATGTGTCGAAATGGCCACGAAGATCATAAATCTTCAGCATAATCTTTGCACGAATCCAAACAACAATTTTCTCCTCGCGCAGTTCTTATGCCGTTAAAAGCAACAGATACACGAGGGCGGACAGAATAAATAGTACGTCCTGTATGTGTATCTATAATGGCAATCACTGAATAATACACAGGTTGGTACAATTTGATCGATATAATTATTATAGGTTTATCTTGCATGTTGGAAAGAGGAGGGAGTCGAGGTGTTTATTTAATTTGAGCAATAAATATCTAGCTCACCTTGACCCGTTGCAGATCAATGGGGTTCATGATGGTCCCCTGAAAGAACTCCACGGTGGTGAAGTGCCGTTTGAAGAGTCCTTCCAACTCGAGATCTGGTGGTTTCCTAAATGGCATGGGCCCGACAAAATGATACGTTTCTTTTCATAAATAACATTCACCTCAGATGTCGGAGAACGCCTTTTTGCGAGATATCGCTGAGTAGGCCGCCAGAAATTGGCGAAGATTCGATTTTTAACAAGTATTAAATGTATAATAATAATGCTGTTGTGTATACTAGACCTTCGAGGGACAGCAAAAAAAGCCACCTTATAGTAGCGTCTGAATATCTATGTTTAAAGACTTCTTGTATTTTCAATATTCTATTCTTTATGGAATTGTGAATTTCCTCGTAGATCAAAGACACACGATATATAATATGTAATAATAGATCTAAGTAAGTCTCTACTGCACGCTGATTCGGCTCCATAGCTCATTACAGCATACCATGCAGTCGCAGGCAGTTGCTTTCTACGTATAAATTCGTACATACATATGTACATATATGCGTGTACTATGTACATACAACATACAGAAGGTGATTTTTATAAATGACCAATGTGATTATCTGAAAAGTTTCGGGATATATGGAGAAACGTGGCTCGAAATGTATATATTGAAGGATGATGTCATACGATAAACACGACTGTTCCATAAACGACGGTGCGAATGATAAAGAAAATATACGACTGACTTCATATTCGGAATTATAATGACGTATATTCTTAATGGTTCCTGATCATAGCTGCTTTCGATACGAAATCGTTGGCATGCGTCACAAGGTCGATCAGCATTCGAAATGTAGAAGATGAAGCATAGTTCGTGATACAACATAAAAGGAAATAATTCCTCGAGTGAATATAAATATAGAAAATGAAATAAAAATTTTCCATTTCAGGCCTTGGCTTTAGAGAAAATCGAGGTTGAAAATTCGTTGGTAATGAAATGATATAACAGCCGAGTTCTACACGCGTACCTGATAATTTTTAAAGTCGATTGCCTTGAAAACGAAATCTTCTAAGAGAAAATTTTATTTCACATTCTACGTTTATTTTTATTCATATAATTATCTCTCTTTTAGTTGTACCAGGAATTACGTCCGCAGTTAGTTCAACAAAGTAATTTTAGAAATACATTTTCGTTCAATTAACTTTACCACTCTATATGTTCAACATCTCTATTTTTGATAAGCAACACAAAGTGTACCTGTATGCTTTTGCTAAAGAAAAGATGGCAAAAATATGTTTGCAATTTGATTCCTGTTCTGTATATGTTTGCACTTATAAATGTTGCGTTTTTAAAAAAGGAGAAAAGGTGAAACGAATACCTTGCAACTTGTCAATTGTAAATGTAATACCGAACAACAGTATAATTCGTAAAATGAAACAAAAGAAGAGAAAGGGAATCAGAAGAAAGTGAGATATGTGGGCAAAGAGAGAAAATCAAGGAAAGAAATGAGTGTAAGAATGAAGCAAATTAAAAAATAAGGAGTGTATTTGAAGATCGAGATATTTCGATTAAATATCTCTATTTGCTTAATTCTGGCATACGTATGTTCGAATTTGCCGTGAGATTATTTCGAGGTATCTGATTCTATAACAGGCAAATGATAATATTATAAATGGAACTGCATAACCCGACCATAACCTTGAAACACACGCTCTATGTGTATTGCCATATTATGTACTGAATATGTCTAACGTATGTGTAAATATCTATATCGATCGATAAATATAAAACTTAATTATTTCCAGGCGAAAAACCTAAAGAACTGCAAGGAAATAAGAAGCACGAGCGTCCACGCAAAAGGCAGTTTGCTAGAAGGTTGTTTGATTGGTGGAGGTTTCATGTGGTGGTTTTAGGGTTCAGGGTACCTTGACGCGCTCCAGATCCACAGCATTCATCATAGTGCCCTGAAAAAACTCCACGGTCGTGTAATGCCTCTTCAGGAGACCCTCCAATTCGAGATCTGGTTCTTTCCTGGAAACACAGATCACTCCTTACGACAATGACGATCAGACCTCACATTTTTTGCACAATTAAACCGTGTATCGATACCGGATGCCTTTGATTTTCAATACCTTCTGCTGTCTCTGTTGATGATCAAAACGCTGGTTTCGGCGTTAAATTTGAAAGTGCGAAATTTTCTTCGAAAGAAAAAGGGGACAAAACTGGCGGAAAAAAGAACGCCCAGTTGATAAAGTCTGATCGCCCTTGGTCGTGTAACCACAAAACAACAACTAGTGCAATTGGGAATCCTACGGAAATCGCGAGCCTACACTTACCCCAGCCGTCAGAACGTAATACCATTGAACACGATTATTCTCTTTTCACAAAATTTATAAATATCGCATGACATTATTCAATACGAATGACTGCTTATCGGTAACTATTACAGTAGTAGACTTACTTAATTGTATTCTCATTAATAATTATCACATGTAATATTATCGTACTTAAGGTAATTAAAGGTGAGAGATTTCTTATAAATGTAATTTTAGTAGGTAACAGTCGAATTTGAATTTATACTGTACAAAGATCAATCACAAGTTCATATTTATTCAATAAATAAGGTAGAAAATAGATGGAACAGTGTCAAAGATGATCTGTATAATCGTGCAATACGTACATAAACTGTCCGTGTAGTATATTACACACGTAGAAAAATTTGGTTCAAAAATCGTAAAAAAAGGATAATGTTGATTACAGACCGATTATACAGACTTTCGTTTGCCAAATAAGACGAGAAAACAGTGCACGGGGTTTGAATTTAATAGGTGAAGTAACAAATCGATGATCATACCTATGCAAGAAGACAACTTCCACGTCGACGTCCTCGCGATCCTCGTGCAAGAAGTCCTTGAGGAAGTGTGAGACTGATTCGTAGGTGATGTGGCCACACACGACTATATGTCTGCCAACACAACGAACGAATTAGATTTCACTCCCTATAGATATGCATACACTCCCTATATACATACATACATATATATATATATACATATATATTCCTCTCTCTGATTGCCAGCCAACCGCTCTCACTGTTTCGATTTGCTTTCCTTTCTTTGAACACGTTCCTCAAGAGGGAACACTTGTTGCGGTGCCCTTTGAGGGTGTAAACACGGTCAAATGAATCTGCGAATCGTGAAAGCGATGCAGCCGTGTAAAAAGAGAGAATAATATGGATATCGTTGAAAAGATTTTTGACAC